AGGATAGATAGGTATTCAAGGAATTGCACCCTTTTGGGGGCATCTTCATCCCAAATCAATTGGGATTTACAATACAACATAAATTCTGGGCTCAATTATGTTGGTACGTTGAGGACTATCTGTATCCATGCAGGTGAGGAGTGGCTGGGAGGGGAGGGGTGAGTAGAGGCTGGTGAGGCACTCCTCGACATGAGTGACACCGAGTTGGCCAAATCAACCCAGTCACATGACCAAGTTGGCCATGCCCACCCAGCTGGTCATTAGGCAGATTATATTAGTGGTCCATGGGATTTAAAATTATGAATTTAGTGGTCCCTGAGCGCCAAAAGGTTGGTGACCCCTGCTATAGAAGCTGTTCTTTATTTAACGAAGTGATAGCACCACGCAGCAATGAGATATAAAGAATTGCAGGCTGATCTACATTTGTTTTTTGGAAGTGTGAATGTGACTAGTCACTGCATGGGTAACAGACACCAAAGTCTCTGAAGAAACAAACCAAAGAATTCTCCAAGTATAATCAATTTCTCACCGAGAACTGTGTTCTCCTACTCATCTACTCCCTAAAAATTTATCTTGGAGACCTCTTTTTCCCAGGAGATTTTGCCTATTCAGCCTGAAATATTTAAGAGTGCCTGCTGAGCGTCTGCCCTTACCAGGAGCTACACCAACCAGAGCAAGCTTTCTTAGAGAACATTTCTTTCTTAGAAACCAATATAGGTATTATTTGTTGTATTGGACCATCAACAGCAAGGGGCTTTGTTTTTTGCATTGTAACCCAGCAATATCTAAGTATTTCTGAAATACAACTAACTATAAGCCAGGTAAAGAAAAGCACATCAAATGGTATAGAATACTTGTGTTTAAGAAGCACCAGGTTTTTACATTTTTATTTCCTAATTTTGAAATTCAACACACTTGGTAAATTTAATAGCTCTTTCACATACCAAGGCAATGGGACACATGAGAAAAAGACAATTTAACCTCTAGGGGGGGTATTTGAGAGCCTTGTGGACATCTTACACAAAGCCGTCGTGATACCTGCTGTGAAGAAGTAAACAGAGAAATATGATGGGACTAATTCATTCTTGATTTTAACTCACATGGTAATTCACACAGTCAAGACGGTTAAATGGAGACATGCTGTCTGAGTTTGGTGTTATTTAACAACACCCATCAGCATCAGCTCTGGTTTGGAAGATGGAACCATGATTACTGCATAGCCCTCTGCATTTTCATCAGAGCCGTCTCTCTGGGCTGATCTGGCTCAGAACCAAATATTCTTTTGGAAAAGCCCAGGCTGTGCCTGCTACCCTCAAGTTAAATCAGCCATGGGAAACCAAGCGTACATACAATGAGATCACATGTTTTGTTCAAATTTGGGCCAAATCTTTAATGGAGAGACACAACAACCATTTCAGCAAGCTGAACCCCAATTAAGAAGCATCAGTGACCATGAGGACAGAATGGTACTCGGGGTACAACGAGTAACCATATAACTGCATAACCAGAGACAGCTCAGGATCGATCCAAACTGGAGCAGTTCCTCACACCCCTTTCCAGGTGTTCAACTTAAACAATATAAAAACAGCTGTTCAAGCAGCTGTTTTTCAGACATGTTTAATATGCCTGCTGGGAATTAGAAGAGCTACATTTCAGGAGAGAATAGCTTGAGGAAGGCTCAAGTATATATGTATATATATTAAAAATTGGGTAACATCAGAAAACAAAAAGTATTGCAAGAAATATTGGAATGTGGAAACTTAATTTTCCCCCTTAATCTTGAGAAAAGTGAATGTGGTTAATTAATCAGAGGAGACGCCTGCTCAGAAAATATCAGTAAATTGTCTGCGAATACAAATGTGAATAGATGGTGCTACAATGGGCAGATTCCACATGTTTGCAATTATTTTCCCCGTAGTTGACTTTTAGCATCTTTTAGATCAGCATTTCATTTATTTTAAGATCTGTGGACTTCAACTCCCAGAATTTCACAGTCAGCACAATTCAAGGCAGCTATGTGATTGACGTTTTCTCTCCTAGCACAAGGTTGGCTCACCAATATCTGGGTCTTTGCAAGTGGCTACCACTGTCTGAAATCTAAACCTTTGTGTGGCTAGCCTGACCCTGATTAGAACTCAGATGGGAGACCACTATGCCACAAGGACAGCACAGAAGAGGACAATGGCAAACTACTTCTATCTCTTTTCCCTAGAAAACTTTATGATGTCTAGCTTGACTAGAAGCAGTGGTGGGATTCAAATGATTTAACAACCGGCTCTTTGTCCTAATGATTTCTTCCCACAACCAGTTCACCAACCTGCTCAGAAAGTTAACAACCAGTTCTCCCGAAGTGGTGCGAACTGGCTGAATCCTACCATTGACTAGAGGGTACAGCTTTTGAAGAGCTGAAAATCATGGATTGTGGCAGGAAGGCTTTTGTTCTCTTGTATGGCAGGTTGGGCAGAAATCAGCTCTGGACTTACTAATTATTCCCTAGGAGGTTTACAAGAAACTGGTTTCTAATTCCCAAATGTTCAGAATGTAGCAATTACATTGCTCCTTACCTCCGCTATTGCCCAAAGGAAGAAAACTGGGAGGAACCTAGAGTGGAATTTTGAGTAGAAGGGAAATGAGGCCCGTACAATTCTGATTATTTAAAGAAATTCCTACTTCAGGCTTCCTGGTATCAAAGTGCATCTCTAAGTGGTTTGGCTAATGAATCTCACGGACAAGCCTGAAATATGAATTAACAGGACCAAAGGTGGAAATTATCAAATGTAGGGGGAATACAGGTAATCCTAGTTTAGCGACCACAACTGAGACTGGCAATTAAGTGAAGTGATTTCTAAGTGAAACCGCAATTGCACTTATGATCTTTATTTCAGCTTCCTTTGCTTTACAGACCTCCAAAGATGATAAATAGGAGAATTGCAATGTTACTTTTTTCATCAGAGTAACAGCAGTTGCTGTTCAAGGCAGATGCTAAGCAAGGACTTCCTGTATTTGAATTGCATTTAATTAACTTATTTTAATGAAAATGTGATTAAAACTATTTTCCCCCGTCCCCCCAAAACTGGGCTCTGTATATGTCCTCTGTATATGCCGTTCCGTGACATCATACCATTGAAAGACCAAATGCAGATTGCAGACCTGAAAAAAAAAAAAAAGATTGCGTATTCCTGCCATAAAGAAATCCTGTTTGACTTTTGCACTTGTCAATAATGAAAAGATGACATTTACCCAAGCAACACATACACACAAAAAGCTGGTTGACAAAACATTTTCCCCCTACAAAGATGTGTCAACCCTGAGCTTGTAATTAAGAAGTTAAAATCTGTGATTTTTATATATATATTTGTATTTATATTCATATATATAAAAATAGATGGCCGTACTAAGACTAAAAAAGTGAAAGAAATTCGGAGTGTCAGTACTATATATATTATATATGTATATAGAGAGATATTTGTGTGAGTGCGTGCACATGTAGGAGTGTCAATAGTTCAGCAAGAGAATTCCCTTTCGATACAACAAACAATAGGAAGAAAGTCGTTTCTATGAAAAGTGAAGATATCGATCCAATTACTATTATGGGCTGTTTTTAAATTGGCCATTTGGGTATGTTGAATAGCACGGGTTCAAGAGTTCAATTCTGTTCAGGGTCAAAAGTGAAAGTAAGAAAGATTACTGTATATAAGAAATTTGTGTGTTTGTGTGGTGGGGATGGACAGTCTGTCTAATGTTTCAAATTAAATTTAAGGACTGTGAAAAAGTTACTGTGGATGGGTAGTGTTAGGGGACAAGGGGGGTCTGCAGAGGTTTGTTAACAATGCCAAGATTGGGGTACAGCCATGTGATTGAAGCCTCACCCTTTTTATGAGCCATGGTGGCGCAGTGGTTAGAATGCAGTACTGAGGCTACTTATGCTGACTGTCAGCTGCCTGGAATTTGGCAGTTCAAATCTCACCAGGCTCAAGGTTGACTCAGTCTTCCATCCTTCCGAGGTGGGTAAAATGAGGAGACAAATTGTTGGGGGCAATAGGCTGACTCTATAAACCGCTTAGAGAGGGCTGTAAAAAGCACTGTGAAGCGGTATATAAGTCTAAGTTGTTATTATGCAAAATCCATAAACACAGTAGGCCTCTAAAAAGAGGAGAAGTTTCAATTACATGATTATGGCTGCCATTTTGACTTTTTTGATACCAACCTGCAGATGCCCCTATCGGCACTCTTGTGCCTATGTTGTAACATTTGGGTCAAACCAACTGCAACAAAAGCCTTAGTTGGCAAACACAAACTGCTGAGAGCAAAGGGATGGGAGGGTACTACTCTTGTTCTCAGAAAGTGTCCTATTTTTGCTTCCAACCTCTCTGCCAATTCTTCCATTTACAGTTAAGAATAAACATAGTTACACCTGTGTTACAAAAAGAAAAAAACCCACACCCCACCAAACTCCAAGATATTCTCTCAGTGACTAACATCATTTTAGTGATTTGAAGTGCAATCCTAGATAAGAAGGTTTGGCTTTCCTGTGTGTGTGCATATGTACGTGCTTATTATTCGGCCTTGGAATAGCTTTATTTTCAACATGTTTCTTCTTCCCATTCTCTTTTTCTGTCTAATGGAAAAAAAAGAAAGAAATAAAAATAAAAGCCCATGTCAGGTCCCCTAAATCTCCTTCCCACCCTGCCTTTTGCTTTCCAAAGCATAAAAGCAAATCATATTCTGAAAAGTCTTCTAGAATAAAAGTGTGAGAGAAGAAATCGCTGAGAAGCAGACATCGCCTTCCCCAGATGGAAATCAGAAGAGGCTCTTCTAGGCCCCCGCACCCTTTGTGAAAATGCCAAGCCGGGCAGGGCACAGAGCCGCTTCTTTCTGGTAGAAAACCGTAAGGGTTGGTGGTGTGGTCCATTGTCTGAGGGCATCAGAAAAGGAGCAAATTGGCTGTTCTGTTCTTTTTTCAATAGCTAAAAGGCAGTCAGGGCTGACCGGAGCCAGGATTATCTGCAGTGTCTTTGCAGGAGAAAGACTGTAAGAAGGAGGAAGCCCGTGAGGATGGATGGATAGGGCTGGCTGGCTGAAGAGTCCACTTCCCTCCTGTCTGAGTCAATGAGAGGAGTTTCTGTGGTGATGAATTCAAATTCTGTTGGACAAATATCATCCGTACAGCCGCTTCCACTACCGGAGCCACTGGTCTCCTCACCTGTAGGACCAGGGAGAGAAAGAGAGAAATCAGGGAAGAGCTTTAGTGAACACCTCAGTTCAGTTTCAAGCTGTACACTGAGAATGGAGTAACTCCAGGTGACTTTCATTGTCTGAGAACTACTGCCTGATGGGTCTGAGTGTACCAGTTGGTGGATTGTCAGCTTCCAGGAGGGCTGGTTCAGAACTCCTTCCCAGGACCTCATAGTAGGTCCAGCATTGACCATAAGGCAGGGATGTTACATGTGGAAGAAGGATCTGCCAGGGTCACAGCTCAAAGCCGAATCTGGCTCTAAGTTTTGCCTCAGTTTAACTTCCCAATAAACAGCTAAGTCAGTGGTGGGATTCAAATAGGTTTACGGGCATCGGTTCGGCGGGCATGGCTTGGTGGGCGCGCTTTGCGCATGTGCACACAATTTGCGTGCGTGCGCATGACAAATATGCACTTTGCGCAGATGCAGAGGTGTTCCAACTTTACATTACATTCCATTTACAGTGAGTGGGAACATTCCAAAGTTAATGTTCCAACTCACCTCCTGCAAACCTGAACTCTCCTGGTTGCTTCAACAGCTGCCACGCGGCACTCTGCTGTGCCACACAAAGCGGCTGTACTTCAAAAGCAGAGGATAAAGGTGAGCATGGAAGCCCAGGCAGGCGGGTGGGCCCAACTGCAGAGCGGTGGAGTCTCTGGTGCTCATCGCTACTACCGGCTCAGCAGAACCAGGCAGAAACGGTAGAGTACCACCACTGAACTAAGTTTGGAAGATCATTTAAAAGCAGTTTATTAGGGTACCCTGATAAAGGGGGGGGTCTCTCTATATAAAAGGGAAAGAGAACCTCGTGCCCCATGTATCCCTCCTTATTATACTTAACAAAGAAAATGCAAGAGGAAAGATGATTGGACAGAATGAAAGTAACCTCCCCTTTGCATAGGAAAACAGTTACATGTAGTCAAATATGTTACATATTTGCACCTCATAATTACCACACATGTTCATTAAAATGAGGTCTGACGTCAGAAGGGGCTTAATTGTAAGGAAGTTGTACTAACAAACTTTTCTTATCTGGAGCTAGTCTCCAGCTTATCAGTTTAGGAATGTTAAAGCTAATACATCTGAGCATCATTTTAAAAGAGAGAAAATAAATCAAATTAAAATACAAGGTAACTATGTTAGTTAACAAATAACAAAACCCATGTTATTTGCCCCTCATAATGGAGGCACTCTCAAAAGGCCACACATTGAAGCAAACATAAGGACCGAATTATTTAATTTGAATTTTTGAAAAATATACAGCTGCCTTTTTAAGACACTTCAGTGGGAAGACTTGTCAATAAAGCTGCTCATTGGATACAAATTATTAAAATACCCCTTGAGCCATAAGGCTGGGCCCAAAGAAATAACAGAATTGAAATAGCAAACTGAAAATCTATTAGCAAATTGCAACCTGGATATTTCCACAAATGTAGTGAGAGGTACAGCCAGGGGTGGGATTCAAATTTCTTAACAACCGGTTCTGTGGGCATGGCCTAATTTGTGGATGTGGCTTGGTGGCCATGTGACTGGGTAGGCATGGCTTGTATGTAAATATTGTAAATATTTATGTAAATATTGATTTTTTTTAATTAAAAAAAGCAACTTTTACCCAAACCAGGCAAAGCTGGCAGGCAGATTGAGTTGCTCACAGAATCACAGATTCATTTAGAGATCTACCATTCTGCAATCTGCTACCTGAGTCTGCACTGAAAACTAGAAGCTTCAGTCCCGAGGAAGGTTCAGCTTTGTTTTTAGATTAGCTAGAAAGCAAGAAATCCAATGATTTCCTGCTTTCTAGCTAATCTAAATCTCCCAGCAGAGCTGATAGTCGGAACAGCTGATGGTTGGAAAATAAAAGGAAAAATAGCAACTTACTAAAAATTAGGCTAACACAGACAAATTGGATGGCATGCATGCCAGGTAAAGAGCGAGTGGGCAGGGTGGGGCGAGGCGGCCAGCCAGTGGTACGATTTGCTGGTTCTCCGAACTGGGCAGAATCATAACAACCGGTTCTATAGAACTGGACTGACCAGGTAGAATCCCACCCCTGGGTATAGCAGTGTTTTTACAGGATGTTCTTAGCCAGATTTACTGAAAAATAACTTCTTCTTTTTTCAGAGGGACTTATTTATTTATTAATATTTCATTTAAAACAAGTTATTTGGCCCTTGCACACAGGAGGGTTGTATATTAAAAAAATTCAACACAGTATAATAATGCTAGAAAAATGAATAAAATATCTAATAACAATAAGCCAGCATTCTTCCTAGATAATGCACCTGTGTATGGTCTGCCAGATAGGACAGCACTCCAGAGGGTGAACGTCATTTCCCAGAGGATCCTTGGTTGCCCTCTCCCCTCTTTGGAAGAGCTTTATAGCTCCCGCTGCCTTAAGAAAGTTCAAAACATTCTCAAAGATCCATCTCATCCTGGGCACCCTTTATAAAAGAACTATTACCATCTGGCAGACGGTACAGGACAATAAAAATAAGGACAAATAGACTGAAAAACAGCTTCGATCCCAGGGCAATAGCTCTGTTGAATTCTACTGTATAGTGCAATATTAATGCAATATCAGGGTTTTTCAATTCAATGTATAGAATGTGAAGGATGTATTTGTGTTTTATTTTTATAGTCATAAGGTACACTGAAGATGGTATTTAATTTTGTTGTACGAGGTGCAATGACAGTAAAGTAAACTAAACTGAACTAAAAAAAATAATACAGGTAGTCCTTGACTTACAACAGTTCATTTAGTGACTGTTCAAAGTTACAAGTTATGACCTTTTTTTCACGCTTATGACCACTGCAGCACCCACAATACTCTTCATTCAGAGTTTGTGGGAAACAAACTCAATAGCATTGTAAGCCCTGAAGTTGGCTTAATACCGTTAAAAAACTGGAGCAGTGTACCTGATTAGATTAATATGGAAAACCCTTTTTCCCACCTCCATTTATGATATCACCTTACTTACTCTGCCCAAAGGCCCACTCACAGTGGTTGTCTAACCACCAAAAGCAATTACAGCACTGGATACAGGAAGAAGACAGCCATTAATTTCAACGTAGATTGCTACTAGTGTCAGAAGTCAGAAAGCAAGATTGCAGCAGAGAAAAGTGCCTACATAATGTCTTACTTGTGTCCTGAAAATTCACATCATTTCCATTGTATGCATTTTTTAGTTTGTTGGTCATTACTCTTAGCGCCATAATTTGCTGTCTTATGTAGGTATCAGGCCGGGTGATGTCCACATCAACCTCAGGATTATTAATCTGATTGGTGAGTCCATCATTCATGATCTCAGGTAGATACCTGTACACCAGAATGGAGAATAAGGACACATCATTGTAATGCTTACACTTCCATGGCATTATTCACTGAGACAAGGACATTCATCCATGATATAATCATTCATCTTTTGTGATAAATATGCTTACAGGATCATTTACTCATTCTGTGGTGTCTTATGTTTCGGGGAGGGGTGTCTTCCTAGAATGGATGGAAACAAATAGTTCCCTTTTCCAAAAATAAAATCACTATATCTCCTGAGTAACCATGGCTCAAAATTTGAAAATTCCTGAATGGTCTATTCTACCGAGGAAGATTTTATCTATCTATCTATCTATCTATCTATCTATCTATCTATCTATCTATCTATCTATCTATCTATCTATCTAT